ACAGCCTCATGGTACAATTATAGGTTTTGCATAAGCAAAATAAAATGTTCTGGTATTTGAATTCTTCTCACAGTCAGCCACAGTTTGTTGTGATCCACGCAGTCTGCCTCCTGGTCGAAGTATAGGTTTTGCATAAGCGCAATCAAATGTTCTGGGATTTCCATTCTTCTCAGAGTCAGCCACAGTTTGTTGTGATCCACACAGTCAAATGCCTTTGCATAGTCAAAGAAACACAGATAGACATTCCTCTGGTATTCTCTGCTTTCAGCCAAAATCCATATGACACTAGCTATAATATCCCTAGTACCATGGCCTCTTCTAAACCGATCCTACACATCTGGCAGTTCTTTGTTTATGTGCTGTTCCAGTCATTTTTGGATTATTTTCAGCAGAATCTTGCTTGCATGTGATATTGATATTGTTTGAAAATGTCTGCATTCTGTCAGGTCACCTTTCTTCGGGAAAAAATATAGGTCAGAACTCTTTCAGTTGTTTGAAGTGATTAACGATTTTATCTTGCTTGTATCCACAATTAACACTCTCGGCAAGAGCAATCAAAAAATCAGAAGATGTGTTGCACTGGGAAAATCTGCTCTCAAGGACTTCTCCAAGATGCTGAGTAACAGCAACATCAGTTGAAAGACTAAGGTGCATCTGACTCGAGCCATGACCTTTTTAATTACTTCCTATGCATCTGAAAATTGTACAATGATTAAAGATAAGAGTAGAGTACAGAATATCTCATGGACTATGAAAAAGCATAGATATGTCTTAGAGAAGGTACAACCAAGAGTCCTCCTTAAAGACAAGGATGGTGGAACTTTATCTCACCTATTTTTGGCATGTTGTCAGGAGCGGCCAGTCTTTGGTAAGGGAAATCATGCTTGGAAAGGTAGAAAGTCAATAAAAGAGAAGAAGAACTTTAACAAGATGGGTTGATGTAGTAGTTGCAGCCATGAGTTTGAGTACATTGGGGATAATGAAGATCATGCAGCAGGATAGTACAGGGCTCAGGTGTACCATTCATAGGGTCCATATGAGTGATGGTTGACTTGAGGACACCTAATAACAACAACCACAACAACAATTTTGTTCCTATCAGGATATAATACAAATATATTTTATGTACCAAATAAAGAACTGGTCAACAGTGAATATAATAAAGTAGCATACAATCAAGGACCAATGGTAGGAAAGAAAGAAGTTCAAGATGCACTTAAAGTATTGGCAAAAGAAAAAAGAGTACCCAAGAATTGGTGGAATCTCAATTGAGGGGTAGTCTTGAATGTGTTTTTTAGCCCATGCCAAGAAATTTAGAAGACAGTTAGCTGACCAATTTAAAGTAAGATATCTATATTTATTGTAATTCCAAGAAAAGGTAGTCTAACAGAGTGCAGAAATTCTTGAACAATATCTTTAACATCACATGCAAGTAAAATCTTGCTCTAAAGTATTCAAAAACAGCTGGTGCAGTACATCAACAGGGAAGGTCCAAATATTAAATAAAAATGGATACAGAAGAGGTCTTGGCATGAGAGGTATCATTGATGTTGTCAGATGGATCTTGGCTGAAAGCAGAAAATACCAGAAAGCAGTTGACACCTGATTTATTGATTATGCAAAGGCATTTAACTATGTGGATCATAACAAATTACGGATAATTTGAAAATCTCAGAACTGTGCTCATGAAAACCTTATACATGAGTCAACAGTTGTCTGAATAGAACAAAATCAGGAAAGGTGTATGCCAGCATTGTATCCGTTCTCTATATTCAATCTCTATGCTCAGCAAGTTATTCAGGAAGCTGGACTATATGAAGAAGACTGTGGCATCAGGATTGTAGGAAGATTTGTCAACAATCTGTGTTGTGCAGATGAAACAACCTTGATTGCAGAAAGTGAAGAAGACTTAAAATACTTAAGAAGATTCAAGACTACAGCCTTCAAATGGGTTACATTTTAACATAAAGAAAACACAAATCCTCACCTCTGGACCAATGTGCAATATCATAATGGGTGAATAAAAGATTTAAGGTGTTAATGATTTCATTTTACTTGGATCAACAATCAACACCTATGGTAGTAGCAGTCAAGAAATCAAAAGATATATCACTTGTAATAATTTGCTGTGAAGGACCTCTCTAAACAACAATGTCAAATTAAAGACTAAGATGCTCCTGATCCAAACTATGATATTTTCAATTGCTTCCTCAGCATCTTAAAGTTGGATAAGGAATAGGATGACAAGAAGAATTAATGTCATTGAGTTGCGGTGTTGAAGAAGGTTACTGAATATCCCATGCACTGCCAAAAGAACCACAAATCTGTCCTTGTGGAGGAAAGACAATCAAGGTTTTCCTTAAAAACAAGTTCGATGAAACTGCCTCACATACTTTGTTCATGCTGTCAAAAGGGGCCAGTCACTTCATTTCATACTGGGTGAAATGAAGGGTCAGAGAAAAAGAGGAAGACTCTCCAATGATAAATTGACACAGTGGCCATGGCAATGGGCTTGAGTATGCCAGATATTGTAAGGATGGTACAGGATAGGACAAGGTTTTAATCTGTTGTTCATAGGGTTGCTATGAGTTTTGGTAGGCTCAATGGCACATGACAACCTATTACATGTATATAATGTTTTATATATATGTATGCATGTATATATATAATGTGCACATATATATATTGTATGGG